TTGGCTTTGTGGGCATAAACTTTTCAAATGAAAGTAACAATTGAAACTTGCTGGAGAATTTATTCCTATTAGAACACTGTGATAGTCTAGAATAAAACAATAGTAATTTGATAATTGGTATAATTTTTAGAAGCTGAACTCTGCAGTGACGAGTTTTTAAAAGTACAACCATAAACTTACATTAGTATATAGATGTAATCAATTTTATAATCAATGTAATAACAGCAATTTGGTTTTTAAAAGAAAATGCCTAAATAAATTTGCCTTTGGCTTTTAAAAAAAAAAGCAACACACACATTGAAGGGGAATGTAGTACATATAAATACTATGAGGCAAAATTTTCATATTTATTATATTGAGATGCTTTGAAGGGATAAAAGAAGATTCAAGTTCTGTTCTAAATCATATTCTTAATCTTGTTCACTTTAGCATAAATAAGAGTTGCTTTGTGTCCAGTAATGGCTGTGTTTTTAAAACTATGATGTATCTAAGTTTTAGGTAGATCTCCATGGTTTTAGGCTACTTGCCTAACAATAGAACAAGAGTCCCTAAGTTGTTGGAATTAAAACCACTTATGGCACCCATTATGCAGCAACAATCAAATGATAACCAAGAGATAGAACTGTTTATAAAATAACAACAGATGTGAAACCTGAAGACATACATGGGGAAAAATACAAAAGTTTATAAAGGGGAGTCATAGATAAATGCTGAGTCGCATGGCCATGTTCCTGGCTTAGCTCACTGAATACTATTAATACAATGAATCTCAAGTTAACTTTAAGTGTAATAATATTTCAATTAAAATTTTAAAGGGATTTGTTTGAAAATTAATGCTAACACTTTCTAGGAAAAAAATGTGGTAGAGATCCAAGAATAAAGATTTTATGGTTAATTAGAAGTGAATATACTCCCATAAATCCCAAAATGTATTCTAAATGTGTAATTATATATTGTTATATTGCAAAAATAAAAATATGTGAAAATTTTAATGAAACTAATTAGAAAATCGAAAACAGGGCTAAATATATAAAATAACTCAGTATATAGGGAAGATAAGATTTCAAATCAATAAGGTAAATATGGGTTATTCAAAAGATAGTTTGAAGCTACTGTCAAAGAAGAAATATAACTATATCACCACATTACATATTTTTAAATCCTATATATATTAGCCAAATATGTATATGTAAATAGCCAAAATATGTATATGTAAAATACTACAAAGAAAAGTCAAAAGCAAGACATATTGGGGAAAATATTTGAAATATATATGACAGACAAAAGGTTAATATCCTTAATATACTCATCGGTAAAACAAAGCATAAAAGAACTATAGGAAACAAAATAAACGACTAGAAGACAGTTAACAAAATAGGAAATGTGAATGGCTACAATTAAAAAATGATGATATTGCCATTTGTAGTGAGAAGAAAAGCTATGTTCAGTATTTACGGATTGTTGGATTAATGTAAGCTTGTGAAAATGTTATGATCATTTAAACTCTACACTGTTGTATCTGAATTAACATTTTATTCCTATGTTTGTTTTTGCAGTGTCTGTGTTTAGAAAGGTCTTGATCTCATTTTTCTCTGAGGAAGACCAATATGTTTGGTCTAGAACTCGATTTTGTGCAATGGCCTGTACTGAATTGGGCCATGGGATATGCGAGGGATGGCTTTGGAAAAAAAGAGAGTCTAGAGGAATCTCCTTTTTTAATTGGAAAAGATACTGGTTTATTTTGAAACATTCAACTCTCTACTGGTTCTCACACCTGAATGTAAGTGCACCAGGAAGGAAAGAAAGTTTGTCATCACTGAGACAGAATAGTCTTTAATACTTGTGTTAAGGAAGTACATTACTGTCATAGAGGGATTTTTGTAATATATAATGTTAGGAACTAAGCCATTGTTGTTACTTCTTACTAAAAAGTGATTTATAGAGAAGGCATTGTAATTAATGGTTTTGAAACCAAAAATACTTGATTTGTAACCCAGGCTCTTTTACTTACTATCCTCAAGAACTTGGGCAAGTTACTTAAATTCTCTGAGACTCATTTCCTTCATTTTCTTCAGCCAAGTAATAATACTTGTCAAGTATTTTCCTCCCTCTCTTTCTTATATGTTGCTCCTCTCCTTCTCAGCCACCTCCATCTCATATACTTTTACATGTGCTGATGTATTTTCATTTAAATAAAGGTTTGACTAGAGAAAAAGTTCAGTGTTTTGTGGGGCAGAAGAAACAAGGCTAGGAATTTCATTTTGTACATGCTCAGTGCAAGACACTGTTAAATTTATCCCAGTGGAAAAAGCAAATCTGGAACTTAGAAGAAATCTCCAGCTTTTCCCTTAGCTCTTTTTGTCCTTTACAGCCAGAATAATTGATGATGTTCTTTATATTTGCTTTCAATTGGTGTTCTCCAACCTCTCTTGTATTCCCACTACTCCATTAGAATAACTTTAGAAGGTTACTGTGATCCTCTGTGTAAGTCCAATCTCTCCTTGTTTTCTTTCTATATCTCCTACCACTCCTGCTGTCACTTTTTGAGGATTATCTACTCTCCCAGATCTTTAAAAGTTGGATTTTTTTAGGGATCAGTTCTAGAATTTCGTGTTAACTTTTTTTCTAGATTATTTTACTCATGTCTATGTTATCAATTACTATCTATAGACAGAGGTCACACATGTTTATACCTATACACCCAAAATCTCATCTAAGATTGAGTACTAATAAGTTCAATTGATCATTCCACTGGGATATTTCAGTGGGACTACCCTATTAAATATATACAAAACAAAACTCATGATCTTGGTATCCTCAAAATGGTGTCTCCTTACTATGACTTTTCTCTAAGGAGTCGGAGTCATTCTCAAGCTCTCCACTCTTTTACCGCCTATGGTTTCCATATTAAGTCTGGCCAGTATTAGTTCTAAAAAATCTCTCAGATTCCTCAATTTTTCTCCATTGTCACTGCCTCCACACTAATCCTATCTATCATCATCTGTTGCTTGAACAATTTCAGTAGTGTTTCACCTGTCTCCACACATTCACTTTGGCCTCCTCAAATTTGTTCTACCATTCTTATCACAGGGTTCTTTTTAAAAAATACAGATTTGATCATTTCACAACTGTCACATTTCACCAAACTTTCCTATCTATCCTCATTAGAAGATGTAAGTAACTTCCCATTACTCTTACACACACACACACACACACACACACACACACACCCCATTAGCATGAACTACCAGGCCTTGCCTGGATCCTCTCCAGTGACATCTTATATGATGTACCTCTGTGTATTTTACATTTCAGCTACACTGGCCTTCTTTTAGTTCTTCTTATGTACTGTGCTGCATCTTTCCACAGAATTTTTTGCCTCTGCCATTCAATATTCCTGTAATATGCATGACTTCCTCACCAGGTTAACACCTAGTTTTCCTTCAGATCTCACTTGAATGCATCACTGCTTTAGGGAAGCATATCCTGACCCCTTTGAGCAACTTATTAGTTCTTACCAGCTCTCATAGTATCATGTACTTCTCCTTCATAACATTTAGTACACTTACAATTTTACATTTTATTTTGTGACTCTAACATTAATGTCTATCTCCCCACCACCACCCATGGCTCTTCTTTTCTCTCTCTCTCTCTCTCTCTCTCATCAATACATATCCATCTTTAACACTTCAACAATTTATCCCTAGCACCTGGCATAATGTATAGATATTGGTTGAACTGATGAACAATTATGATGATTAAATAAGATAATATGTAAAGTTTCTTTGCATAGTGCCTGCCACATAAGTTCTTAATAAATATTACTTCCTATTTATCTCCTCTTCCCTCTTTGGGTACCAATGTGAGAAATGTTTTATTTCAAATGCAAGTTTTTGAAGAAATTATAAAATATCACATATTTTCATATTATTTTTGTAACCCCACATGATTAATATCATACAGCTTATCCCTGTCCAAATTAAACAGAGAAATAGTAAATTCTATCCACTATGTTTTCATTTCATTGACAAAATATTCTAAAAATTAATTAGCTTGATACAAACTGAATCAAAATTCGGGTGGCTTTTTAGATCTATTTTTGTTAGTATTTTTCCAAGTAACCTTTTGTCTTATCATTATTAAATGTATGAGATTTTGATTTGATTTTTCAATTCAGTCATCACTAGGTTTATATTTTTATATAACTTGAATACTTCTATAGAATTTTTCTATTGGGAATTGTAATTCATGCTATAAACATCAGTAATCTGTTCCACTTTTTTATTCTTGAAGAAATTGTGACTCAGAAAGAATAAGTGACTTGGTAAGCACTGGTAGAATGACAATGAGCCGACCTTACTGAGCTCTATAAGTAAGTTAAGAGATGTCCAATCTTGTGTCATTTCATGACACTTTCTTAGAAATTTGATGTATTGCATGTAATACCATAGAGAGGGAGAAAAAGGTAAGACCAGAAAGACATGGGGTGATAAAGATCATATTCCAAATAGTATTCTCTGATGCCCATATGCTAATTGCTTAGCAATTTCATTATTAGATATTTATGAAAAGCTCTGGAATTGAAAATAATTAGTATACATAACTGCCATTCTATATTAGACAACTTAAAGCTTAGAAACGCGGTAAATGTTGCTGTAACCATTGTCTTGCTGGCCTTTGTTGATAAATCATTTGTCTGCTTTGAATGCCCTAATGATGTTGAAAGCTATTTGCATATTTGAAGTAACTCTAAAATCATTAACATAAGAGTTTGATGTCATCATTGCTGACTTAATAAATGCACGGTCCATTCGCTTTGCAGAAAGCTTATTGAAGTGCATGTTAGCAAATCTGCATTCTCTAGCAAGCAAACTAGAAAAATGTTGTTCATTACCATCCTGTTGACCTGGCTCTTGGCTCTTCATTTCAAGGTCTAATTATCTCTGCTAAGCCTTTTCCTTACATTCTTTCATTCTTTCCTTTTCTCATTTTTTTTGTAGGATACCAAGGCTGATGGCTTTATATACCTACCTGAATTCCGAATTGACCTGGCTCCTCATTGCAGAAGAAACCAGTAAGTAGTAGCAGACCCTTAAGTTTAGGGTCCAAATCGGCACTATACAATAGAAAAATACTTCAAGACAAATAATTTTATATTTCCTAATAGTCACATTCCTGATCCTTCAAAATATATTATTCTGTGCATGAAATGTATAACTAATAGATTTCACAATACTGACAAAATAGTTCTAGTACTTTCAAGTTAACATATTTCAAATTATCATATTTCCTTCACTTTAGCTATTTAGATATTGATCATACCTGTTATCTTCCTTTGGGTAGAGAATTATAATGTTTTTCACAGTCTCTCTCTGTATTACAATGACTACCATTCTACAATGCTCTTTAAATGATGCATTGTCCTTCCTGTTGTCTGATTCCTACAATGAAAGACTGCACACATAAAATAATCAGCAAGCTTAAGAGAAGGAGAATCAGTCAGCATCAAATTGCTCCCTCTCCTTTGTTGACCTAATAAAGCCACATACATAAGCTTAGTTCTATAAACTGAGGGATTACAGGAAACCATGAAATGAATTGAAATAAAATATAATGATTCCTGCTTCTGCTCTGGCTAATATTCTAGGATATTTTTGATCAATTAGGTTAGTGATTCTATCAATGTTTAAAGAAATTAACCCAGTCCAATAACTTAAAGAAAAAAAATCTTCCACCGTTTAAATAGCAGAAAACAAACCAATGCTATGCATTCAGGGTATATATCAGTGCTGTAAAATTAAGGTCTTAGAGCAATGTCATTATATATATAGGAGATATTGAAAGCAAATTATAAATTACTAGATGTTGGAATTCCTGTATTATATTAGTCAGATTCTTAGTGTTGTGTATGTTTTTTACCACACTTAATAAGAAAAGAAGATATTTGGAAAGGTCTGGGGGAAAGAAATAAATCCAAGCTAAGGGATATAAAAATATATTCCATGAAGAAAGAAAGAAAATGATGGGCCGGCGATGTGGCATAACAGGTAAAACTGCCGCCCCTATGGGCACCAGTTCTAGTCCCAGCTGCTCCACTTTTGATCCAGCTCTCTGCTATGGCCTGGGAAAGCAGTAGAATATGACCCAAGTCCTTCGGCCCCTGCACCTGTGTGGAAGACCTGGAGGAATCTCCTGGCTCCTGGCTTTGGATCAGCTAACCTCCTGCTGTTGAGGCTAGCTGGAGAGTGAACCAGCAGATGGAAAACTCTCTCTCTCTGCCTCTGCCTCTCTGTAACTCATTCAAATAAATAAATAAACAAGTGTTTAAAAAATAGAAAGTGATTTGGTTTAGTGGTAGAGTGATGTAATTATGACAATATAACATTTTTTAAAGTAATGTGAAAAGACGGTTGGAAATTTGAAAATTACAAGAGTATGTGTTTAAGTTGAAGCGGGAGAACTTAAACTATCTAATAAGATGAAATGTTTGCTCTTGAGGAACATGCCATAATTGCCACCTTTTAATATCTCCTGGAGGCTTAAATATTCAAGTCTTAAGTAAATAGAAGTAAAGTGTCCTCTTACATAACTTTACAAATGTAAGATAGCATAACTTTTTGTTAGTGTGGACTTAAGAGTGTATCAGATATTGCCCTGGAACAAAGCATAATTTTTCCACATCTGGCCTGTGCGGTAGTAGTGATTTATCTATCAATGGCTCAGATGAAGGCAGAAAACCAACCCTACATTCAAATGGGAGATAAGCAACTCAAAAGACCAGGTCACTTTCTACCTTCAGTGATTCACGAGGTGATAAAAAGAATAAACTGTCTTAGGGATCCCATCTCTTAATGATTTACCCTCAAATCCATGTATATTGTTAACATATGGCTCCCTGCTCTGAAAATGTTTCATTCTATTCTTGGGAATAAAAGTTGGAATCTGCCATCTAGTGGATACCATCAGATTATTTCTTTAGAATATTTCTTACCTATTCTTTTGGGTTTGGAAAACAGAAATCAAATCATTACAGGACTTGTTAAATCAGTTGTAGTACTATATTCCTTTATATTTTGGTTAGAAATATATCTTTCCTTTGAAAGCAGTGTTTCTTATTATGCTCACCTCACAGAGATGGAATGAATCACCATCCATCCACTCATGAAATTGGTTTAAATGTCAACACATCACTCACACACACCAGGATAATATGAAAGTGTTTATTATTTGCATAATGTAGTTTTCTGGAGAAAGCAAGGCAGGTATCCCAAGCAGATCCAAAAATAGCTTGAGAGAGCAGGGAAGGGAGAGTGGCTTAGCTTTTCTGGTGGTTAGGAGCTGAGGCTGGTGCTAAGCAGCCAGTAGAACAGGAACAGGCAAGAATGAACAGCTTACAAACTATTAGCAGATAAATATCAAAAATGGTGCCAGACTCTTTATTACCTTTCTTGAGAGATATTTTGTGCTACATGGTATATATTTAAGTCTATGTAAGGAAAATGAACTACATAATTTACATTGGGAACACTAATAGATCTCATACTGTCTCACAGTTTTCAAATATTCCCTATGTGTATTGCTCAAATGACCCACATGAGAACTCATGGAGATTACTTGCTCCATTTGTATCCTCTAATTTGGATTCACTTCCTTTTTTATGTCATCAATAGGATTAAGTGAGGATATGTAGCTAAAAATAGAATAAGCACATTGCTTTTATGTTAGACACACACACACCACACCCCACATACACACACACACATATATTCTTAAACCAGAGATGACAAACCATTTACTATTGAAAAGATCTCAATTTCTTGACACAAATGTTTAAGGAAAGTCAAAAGTCAAAATTAGTTACAACTAAAGTACCATACAGTCAAAGACTTTATAAATGGATAAATATATTGATTCTATGATATTAATATTGTGCAACTGTAGGGAAGAAAGTATTTCTATTAAGGTTTTTAAAGTCTCTGAATGTATACATATTTAATACATTGAAATTTTTATTTTTTAAATTTTTTATATAAAAGGTAAAAATACAGAGAGAGGGAGAGACACACAGAGGGGGAGAAAGAGAGAGAAAGAGAGATCTTCTAGCCACTGGTTCACTCCACAAATGGCCGCAGCAGCCAGGGCTGGGCTAGGCAGAAGCCAGGAGCCAGGAGCTTCCTCTAGTCTGCCACATGAGTGCAGGGGTCCAGGCACTTGGATCATCTTCCGCTGCCTTCCCAGGCACATTAACAGAGGGCTGGATTGAAAGTGGAGCAGACAGTACTCTAACCAGTGCCTATATGGTGTGCCAGTATTGCAGGCACCGGCTCAATCCGCCACAACAGAATCTTGGCCAGAATTTTTATTTTAAAACAGGTAATTTACAAATTGACAATTCACATGATATAATAGTTATAACATAATCCTTACTTCAGACTTTTTTTTATAAAGTGAGCTTTTTTAAACAAAATATTTCCAAAGTAATTTCTCAGTTAAAATTATGTTACAGGTATACACAGGAATGACACACATCTTTTGAAAATACATTTACTGCAAGGATTATAGCATATTTTAATTGATAATTTGCATAAACTGAAATACCCCTATTTATCTTATTGTTGTTTTATTCAGCTCCAATTTTTTTATAAGACAAGCCTTCAAGCTAGAATATGTTGTGTTGAATTATCTATCTAATCTTTAAAATTTTTATTTATTTATTTGAGAGGCAGAGAGACAGAGGGAGAAAGTGACAGACAGAGACCTCCCATCTGCTCCACTAGATCACCCCCCAAATGCCTGCAGTGACTAGGGCTGGACCAAGCCAAAACCAGGAGCCAGAAACTGAGTCTAGGTCTCCTATGTGGGTGGCAAGAACTCAATTACTTGAGCCATCCCCTGATGCCTTTGAGGGTGTGCAATAGCAGGAATCTGGAATCTGGCATGGAGTCAGGACTCAAACCCAAGTCCTATAATATGGGATGTGGGCATCTTGACTGCAAGGGCAAATACCTACCTGTATCTAATTTTTGACATACTATTTCCATTTGCCTTTAGAAAACACCCCGAGTACCTTAAACTATAAGAGTAACTTTGAGTTTACATTGCTGGGCTATCACCTAATTGCAGAATTCCTCTATTTTAATAGACATTCAGTATTTGGATAAGTCCTTACAGCAAATTTATACGTATTATGGAAAAGAAAAGCTTGAGAACTTAGTGTTGTAAAATACCTAAAATTATGAAATAGGGACACTGAGACATTAAAAGATTTGACTATGTAGATGTTGAAACATTGAAAAAAAGAACATTCACTGAATTTGTTCTAAATACAAAGGGGTTGAACAGAGTGTATCCTTACATGAGTCACTGGATTTTTTTCCTTTGTTTTAGTAGCAACAAAGTCAAACATGTTCATACCAAGATTAATGAATATTGTGCATCAAATGTTTGACCTAATGGCACAGAATGCATACGAAGAAAATTGCTGAGTAATAAAGGTCCCTTGTTGTTGATGTAGCAAAACCTTTTTTGCTTTTGGTTTCCAGAACTAGGTAAATTATAGGAGGATGTATTTATGTGATAAGTCAATGCTTGTGCAGGAAGCAGAATTTTTGAGGAAAGTACTATTTAATTGTGTATTTGCCCAGAAGATGGTCTTTTATATGAATGTAAGCTATAGAAGTACTTACATAATAATATTGTTTTGCTCCATGCAAATGTTTTGTGCTTTAAGTTGATTTTTCTTTTAAGATTTTATTTATGTATTGGAGAGGTAGAGTTAGAGATAGAGAAAGGGAGAGACACAGAGAAAGGTCTTCCATCCAGTGGTTCACTCCTCAGATGGCTGCAATGGCAAGAGCTGAGCCAATCCAAAGCCAAGAGCCAGGAGCTTCTTCTGGGTCTCCCACATGGGTGCAGGGGCCCAAACACCTGGGCCATCCTCCACTGCTTTCCCAGGCCATAGCAGGGAGCTGGATCAAAAGAGGAACAGCCAGGACTTGAATCTGTGCCCATATGGGATTCTGGTGCCACAGGAAGAGGATTAGCCCACTATGCCACAGTGTCGGCCCCTTAAGTTGCTTTCTTTTTTTAAAGATTTATTTATTTATTTGAAAGCCAGAGTTATGCACAGAAAGAAGGTGAGGCAGAAAGAGAAAGAAGAGTGGTCTTCCATCTGTTGGTTCACTCCCCAGTTGGCCGCAATAGCCAGAACTGCACTGATCTGAAGCCAGGAGCCAGGAGCTTCTTCTAGGTCTCCCACACGGGTGCAGGGACCCAAGGACTTGGGCCATCTTCTACTGTTTTCCCAGGCCATAGCAGAGAGCTGGATTGGAAGTGGAGCAGTCGGGACTAGAACCGGCGCCCATATGGGATGCTGGCACTGCAGGCATCAGTTTTGCCTCCTACACCACAGTGCTGGCTCTTTAAGTTGCTTTTAATGCTTACTGGAATTGTTCTACAAAAAAGCTAGGCTTCAAAAGGTTAGGTCAGTGAGTGATGCACATGAACTAGGCACCCTGTTATTTGCCAAATTGTGATAAGCCTTCTTGATGGATATTGTTAAACACCTTCCTCTGATTTGGAATGTGCAAACTAAGAACAAAATAAAATTATTTTCTATCTCTATATTTCATTCTTTTTAAAAATATTTATTTATTTATTTATTTGAAAGGCAGAGAGATAGAGATAGAGATAGAGATAGAGATAGAGATAGAGATAGAGTGAGAGCGAGAGAGAGAGGTCTTCCATACACTGGTTCACTCCTCAAATGTCCACAACGCGATGGAGTTGGGCCAATCCGAAGCCAGGAGCCAGGAGCTTCCTCCGGGTCTTCCATGCGGGTGCAGAGGATTTGGGCCATCTTTCACTGCTTTCCCAGGCACACTTGTAGGGAGTTGGATTGGAAGTGGAACAGCAGGGACTCGAACCGATGCCCATATGGGATACCAGCTCTGCAGGCTGCAGCTTTACCTGCTGCACCACAGCGTCAGCCTTATCCCCCATATCCCATCCTTTATCATGAGATACATTAATAAAGGAAGGCAATTTGAAGAAATTTCAGGCATACTTTGTTCAAGTAATATTAAAGGATCATTTTTTATTTCCTGAAAACTTACAAGCAGAATTATAGTAACAGAAGCTCTGTAGTAATTACGTTTAAGCAAACACAGAGAATCTGCTTAAAGTTCTTTCCATCACTGCACACAAGAAGAAAACTAAGATATTCCAACAAATATACCTTATGAACTTGTTCTAAAATTGAATAAATGAGCACTCATCTAGATAAAAGCCTCAACCCAAAAAATTCATAACAGAGCATACAGGTAACTGTATAGCATCCCTATCACAGGCTGGTGAGAGAGCTTCAGAAATTAAAAAGGCAGCAGTAAAAGGAAATTTAAGTTACTAACCCAAATGGCCGCTGCGGTCATTTGGGGTGTTAACCAATGGAAAGAATATTTCTCTCTCCCTCCCTCTCTCTCTAGCTCTCGCTCTCACTCTCTCTCAGTCTTGCCCCCTTCCTGTTGCTCTGCTTTTCAAATCATCAATCAATCAATCTTTAAAAGATAGGGAAAATCCTAGAGAATTAGGTAAATGACAGGCAGAGGGAAAAGTGATTAGTGTTTCCTCTGTGCCTTTTCTTTCTTTAATGGAAAGCTCATAGCCTAATTTAAATGTATGGTAGTTATTCTGGAGCATTTCAAAGAATTATAAACAGAAACTTATACGAAGACTTAAAACCAATTTGAATTAATGAATGACATTCCTGAACTGATAAATTAATAGTCTTTTATGTAACATTGCTGTCCTTAAAAAGTAGTGGAAAAATTCTGATTGCTAAAATTCCATGATTATTGTTACCTACTTTAGCACATACTCTGTGCCAGGTACTGTGTACTAAGCACTATCCATACACTGTGTCCTTTAATACTCACTACAATCTCATAGGGGCATTTTTGTACTTTTACAGATGAGAAGATTGGGCCGTTAAATTAACTTGCCCATGGTCAGTCAGCTAGTAACTGGCAAAGTCTGGAGTTGAGTCCAAGTCTCATTGATTCCAAAGCTTGAGTTCCTAACTCCAAATCATGTGACTGGGGTATGTGTGTGTGTATATATATATATATATATATTCCTTAATTAAAGAAAAATTAAGGCCTCCCTTCAAGGAAGTAATTTTAGTTTAACCTGTTTTTTATTTATTTATTTATTTGAAAGGCAGAGTTTTAGAGAGAGAAAGAGGGGAAGAGAGAGAGAGAGAGAGTGAGAGAGAATATTTTCCATCTGCTGGTTATTTCACCAAATGGCCACAACAGCCAGAGCTGAGCTTATCCAAAGCCAGGAGTCAGGAGCTTCTTCTGGGTCTCCCACGTGGGTGCAGGGGCCCAAGCACTTGAGCCATCTTCTGCTGCTTTCCCAGGCACATTAGCAGGGAGCTGGATCAGAAGTGGAGCAACTGGCACTGAAACTGGTGCACATATGGGATGCCAGTGCCACAGTGGTTTTACCCACTATACCACAGCTGGCCCCATTATTTAACCTATTATATGTACTTACAGATTCATAAAAATTTTAGTGCTATATTTTACTTTCCTGATCAATTCTACATTACAGATAAATGTTAGAGATGTTAGGTGCCTAGTCCGTACTGTCCATTTAACATATATATATATGTGTGTGTGTGTGTGTGTGTGTGTGTATACATTAAAATAAATTGTATTGAATTAACTGGGAATTCACACGATGTTGAGAGTAATGTCCTAATAAAAAATATTAGTGTCAACATTCTTCTTCCTTTCTACAGTGAAGTGCAACTATAGGAACAGGGCAGTTACAGAAAAAAAAAAAAAACCACAAAACTGTTCTTATATGGAAAGGAATAATAAAAAATTTTCACACTTTAAAGTGGCTTGTAATACTCACTAGAGAGCCCCTCAGAGTTTAAGTTATTAGGGAGATGATCACAAGCAGCGTTGTATTTCCTTTAAAAAATTATCTTAAGTAGTATGCTTAAGTTCAGCTTCTGATCAAAAAAGAAATGTAACCGGCCGGCGCCGCGGCTCACTAGGCTAATCCTCCGCCTTGCAGCGCCGGCACACCGGGTTCTAGTCCCGGTCAGGTGCCGGATTCTGTCCCGGTTGCCCCTCTTCCAGGCCAGCTCTCTGCTGTGGCCAGGGAGTGCAGTGGAGGATGGCCCAAGTGCTTGGGCCCTGCACCCCATGGGAGACCAGGATAAGTACCTGGCTCCTTGCCATCGGATCAGCGTGGTGCACCGGCCGCGGCGGCCATTGGAGGGTGAACCAACGGTAAAGGAAGACCTTTCTCTCTGTCTGTCTCTCTCACTGTCCACTCTGCCTGTCAAAAAATAAAAATAAAAAATAAAAAAAAAGAAATGTAACCTTTAAAAAAATCTTCTAGGGGCCAGCGCCATGGCTCACTTGGTTAATCCTCTGCCGGCCACGCCAGCATCCCATATAGGTTCTAGTCCTGGTTGCTCTTCTTCTAGTCCAGCTCTCTGCTGTGGCCCGGGAAGGTAGTGGAGGATGGCCCAAGTGCTTGGACCACTGCACCTGCATGGGAGACCAGGAAGGAGTGCCTGGCTCCTGGCTTTGGATCTGCATAGCTCTGGCCGTAGCGGCCATTTGGGGGGTGACCCAAAGGAAGGAAGACATTTCTCTCTGTCCCCCTCTCTCTCATTGTCTAACTCTATCTGTCAAAATAAATTTTAAAAAATTCTTAAAAAATAAATACATAAAATTTAAAAATACAAAAAATCTTCTAATATTACAGGTGGCAATCTAGTATATTAATTACATTGAAATAGATGTCCTTGGAGGTATCTGTCTTGCCAAACCTTATAAAAAATATTGGTACATTGTCTGAATTTCTGTCATTCTTCCTCTAGAGACTATTTATTTATTTATGAAAATTTGAACCCAAGGAAAGCATTCACATATGAGTTGAAGGTTCACGTAGAACTTACTATTAATTCTAATGACATTTAAGTGCATGAATCCCTAGTGTGCAAGTAGGAGACAAGACATTGGGATTGTGCTCACATGCAATTACAACTGATCTCAAAGGAACAATCACTTGAGTGAAGTAAGGGAGATATGATCTTCAGAAATAGATGATAATAAACAAAAACAAAATGTTTTTTCTATTAGAGTACATCTTATATTGCTACTGAAAAACATCAGTACAAATTCTCCCTCTCCCCCACAATGACATAGATAGATGATAGATACATATATGATAGATGAGAGATGGATGGATGGATGGATGGATAGATAGATTCCATAAGCATAGATAATCTGCTTTTGATAATACAAAATCCCATGGAATGAGGACAGCCATATTTACCTATGTGTGCAGGTGCCAACTGAAAAATACTGTCATTTGAAAGAAAGTGAACCTCATCATTCTGTAGAAATGTAATATGATTAAAAATACAGCTATTGTTAAATATCATATTCATCCCTTTCATACTATGACATTTTATTTTAAAACAAGAGATCTCTTAATCTTCTAATAAACAAACATAACATTCTCAGAAAATGGACTAAAAATCAATGTCTAATTAAATCTGTCCTGTCATTAACATATTACCTTTAGCAAGTCACTTAATCTCTCTGAACTTTAGTTCACTTATATGCAAAATGAACATTGTTCTAGATGGTTGCTATGACCCTTTTGGGGTTATAGTACTAAATGCTTCAATGATTATTAAAAAGAAAACTAAATTCTCTGCTTTCTGTCTTTTTTCCTCTAGTGCTTTTCAAGCCACTCATGCAAGAATCAAGAATTTCTATTTTGCTGCTGAGTGCTCAGATGAGATGAATTAGTAAGTCATTCCTGTTCATACATTCATTGAATATATATTTATTAAGCATTCGTTGTATGTCAGGGACCATAGTAGGTCCAGATAAAACAATGGCTTTTTTAAAAAAAATTTTATTTCAGTACAGCTTAGTGTAGTTGGGGAAATCAAGATGAAATGAAAGGTAACCTGTGTGCTGAAATGTGAAAAGGAAGGAGTAGCATGATTTAAAATGAGGCTACATCAGCAAGTATCAACCAGAACTTGAAGTCCTTATATAAACCAATAGCTAACAAATTTAGTCTATTTCAAGAACAAAGGTAAGCAACTAAAAGCTTTTCAGAAGTGACTGGATCAGATAGAGAAGAGATTGAGGAGGTTTGTGAAGAGATAGATAAGAAAAAGCTCATGTAGGTTAGAGTGGTGGCAGTGAAAAAGAAAACAAGCAGTCGTATTCAAGATATCTGTACATAAAACCAACACACTGGGGTATAGGAATTAAGGGAGAGGAAAGTGTCAAGAATTAACTATTAGGTTTCTAGATTGCATAATAAGACGGATTTCATTATTATTTTCAAAGGGATAGGGAATAATGAAAGATAAAGGGACAAGATTGTCAGTTTAGTCTGGCCGTGTAAAGTTTGGTGTACCTTTGAGACAAATTGTGGGCTTCAAATAGGCAGTACCTCTGAGTCTAGAGCTCAGAGAAAAGTATGGAGTTGGAGGTATATAATTTGAGTCATGTGCATCGGTGTCATATTTGAAGCTATAGTCATCCATGAGAAGCAGCTAAGACAGTGGTTCCTGAACTTGAGTGCACATCAGAATCAAGTGGAGGGCACATTAAAAGCATAAATTGCTGGTGTCCATCCCAGGAACTTATGATTCAATAGGTCTCATTTGGGAGCTGAGAATTTACCTATACAACCAGCCTCTGGGTGATTAAGATGATTCTGATGTTCCCAGGATTCTGAAAACATTTGATAAGGGAAAGGGCATAAGAGTGAGAACACTGAAGAATGATAATATTTAATGACTGAGGAGGGCCTGCAAAGTAGAAATAATGAAAATCCAGAAAAGTAGGTAGAATTTCAATGCTATTATAGCATAATTATTTGATACACTCTTAGAATTCTGCAGCAGACAATGCATGAGAATACCTAGAAAAATCTGTGATAAAGAAAATGGAAAGACTAATTGCTTGGTATGATTTGTTTATGCAGTGTATATGTATTGGAATATGGTACTGAACTCCATAAACACATACAAATATTTCACTAATGCAAATTTGTTAAAAGTTAATGGAAAATGGAATCAAAAGATAAATTTATTTTGATGCAAAAAATTAAGTCCATTCATCTTCAAAAAAATTCATATAAAGTGGCCAGTGTTATAGCGCTATAGCAGGTTTAACTGCTTCCTGCAAACACCAGCATCCCATATGGGAGAACTGGTTTGAGTCCTGACTGCTTCACTTCCAATCCAGCTGCCTGCTAATGTGCCTGGGAAAGCAGCAGATGGTCCAAGTACCTGGACCCCTACCACCTATGTGGGTGACTTGGTGGGGTTCCTGGCGCCTGGTTTCAGTGTGGCCCAGCCCCAAATGTTACTGCTATTTGGGGAGTCAGCCAGAATATAAAGGACCTCTCTCTATGTCTCCCTGTGTCTCTGTCACTCTGCCTTTCAAATAAATAAAATAAATCTATTGATGAAAAGGGTATGCGTGGATTTCAGAATTTTTTGTACCAAAATAAACATTTTAATTCCATATTTCCATGAACTTTTTGAAGTTGAGCCAATATGTACTACTTTATCCTTAAGGAAGGAAATACGTTTCATTTAATGAAGCAGGGGCTGTTTTTGTACCTGTAACTTATTTACATATAAGATATTGGCTCTAGTGTGATAATATATGTAAATACTTGTGTATATAAGTCTAAAACCCCATATCATTTAACACAAAATTTTCTGGTCTAAAATGTGCCTTATTTTAGACAAAAATATTTTAAATTAGTACTGATATCCATTTTGTTGTGTTTCTCAATTTAAAACTAAAAACCATGATAGTTTTGGACCTCTTATACAATATATTAACTTAGCATTCATCAATAATCACTATACTTTCATGGAAATTTAAGGCAATAGAAAGAGCAAGAAAGTACCTTACATAACAGTGTCCTATGTTGTTGGAAAGCCTTGAAGAATGATTAAAACTAATTGCCTTGATTGAAGTGGATACTGGGCTGCATTTTGCAGGCCAACATTGCTTTCTATGAAGATTAAATATGTATTATCTGAATAGTTTTACATACATTGACTTGAATTTTAAAAGAATGGGTGAGAAAATTGACAAATTGTTTCTTGCTTATCTTGATTATTCTGCTATCTATAAGCTGACAATAGTTGTGAGCTACAAGTTAGTTTAAAGCTTGTCATCCTTTTGAGTAGATAATATTTTATCCATTTGTGTATTAAGCATGGTCTCTATGAAAGTTAATGGATGCACTTTTCCTTTTGTAACAAAACTATTCCACATGAATAATAATAATAATACATAATAAATTCCAAAATAAAATGAAGTATACTCTATAAAACATTAATTTCAATTAGGGAAGGCAAAAGGTTATTGATATTTTTAAATATACCACACAGATTTTAAAGTGTGTTGACTAGCATCATAAATGAGCCTTTGACTATAATGGGATTTTATGTTCATGTTTAATTTAAATTAAAATACCTATAATTTCAAAAGGAAAATTGCTTGCATTTGTATTCAACATGCCAGGAGGAAGGGTTGTTCTTCCCTTAGTGAGTTTATATAGCCTATTCTCAATTTTAATTATGTTGAATTTAATCCTGTCACAATGCTACTGTCTATAATTTATGCCTCTGAGACCAAAGCACAAAAACATTCTTACTGTCTTGAGGAAAAAATAATTTCTTTCTTGACAGCACTGAAGTAATAACTTGTTACAAAAAGAAAATAAAATTCTGACAGTATCAGAGAGGCTGTGTGAATATTCCCAGGAAAGGGCATAATGCTAAGTGTAGCTATAAACCCCTTGGAAAGATATTGAAGGGTACGCTGACATGGAAACAATAAATGCGTTATATTCTGTCAAGAAGAAAAGTAAGAAGACTGTTTAGCATCTGGGAGAAAATCAGTATTAAAGGTAGAGTGTTGTTGTTCTATATATGGGACAATATATGAATACGTTTAGAAGCTCATAGGAAGGAATCAGTAGAGAGGAAGGGATTAAAGATGTATTGATAAAGGATGCAGCTGATAAAGCAAAGTGGGGCAAAAGGGAATGGGAACGAGGACAGGACATATATGGGTAAATAACTTTTAAAAAGGAGTAAAAGAAGTGTGGATGGGTTTATGGACGCAGGCAAGTTTGCAGAAGGGGTGGGATTTATGAGGGATCATGTTTGTTGGCCTCTTGATTTTCTTCATGTGGAAGGAAGCAAGGTGTTTTGAAAGAGTTAAATATGTTAAAGACTTTTGAAATGATATACGTGTGTGTGTGTGTGTGTGTGTGTTAAAATGTGTCATTGCACTCAATCTCAATAAGGGAACTAAACCTGAGACATTTGCTATTGGCACTAATAGCAATATAACAGCGGATATAATATGAATGGTTCAAAGCAAAAGCAGAAGCCAAGATTATTCATTCACTCTCCTTAACCTTCAGTGAGCAAGCACAAGCTAAGTGAGTGCATTCCTTCGTCAGCAAGCCAGTAGTAAAATCATGATAGAGTCAAAGAATCTTAATGAAGTTTTGGTCTTGCAATCAAAATTATTTTCTCTTCTAGTTGAAGAAATGTGAGAATTAATCTATGATAAATCTTTGTTGGTTGAATTTGAAATATTCAAGTTAGTATATTGGAATATAAAACAAGAACCTAAAGTCGTTCTTAACCCTTTTCCAGGAATTTTATGTAACTTAAAATTTGATCCTGTCTCATTTAGTTAAAAATAAGTAACTATAGTCTATCATATTTTCTTTAAAAAAGATCTGAAATTAGTGACTTTCAATGGGCAAGTGAAAGAAGAGGAATACAGAGTTGTTTTAACTAAAATAAACCTTTATCTACAAAGAAATATTATAATTAATTTTAAATATGCAACTGAAAAAATGAAGATTAAATTGTTGAGAATAAATTTGTTTTATTTTGAAAGTGGAGACTGCATAATTTGAAAATAGTAATAATTGGTGAATAAAACTATACTGAGTTTATTTATTTATCTTTTTAACTTTTATTTAATAAATATAAATTTCCAAGTATACTGAGTTTAAAAAATGACTAAATTGTCATTTAAGTTAATGTAATTTCTGTGATCTAAGCTGTTATACATTAATATCTAAAAAGAAAAGGCTTATAAAATAAATGATTTTACTTTAATGTAAAACATAACCAGCACGATTTTCACCTCCCAAAAATATAAAAAGTAATTATAGAAGAGTATTCATATCTTCATTTTAATAGATATGAAATCTGAGATACTGGATTAACTATGTATTCTAAATCTGGCAACCTCTATTAGAATACTTAAGATTTTGCATAATCAACTCGGATTGTCTGCTTCATGAATACCATTTTTAATAAGATGGTGTGTAATATTTTCAGTAAAATATAGCATTTACCATTAAACATTATGTAATACAAAATTATTAATATTGTTCATTAATTACACAGGACAATTTAAACTTAAAGCTAGAGAAGTAATATTTCTGCAGAGTTGACAGAGTTATAGGTTTGTTTTTAATCCTGTCATCCACATAGAAAAGAAGAAAGATTCACACATATAAAAAAACACATAGTCATGTTTAGTCGCGAATGGTTAGGACATCTGAGACAAGTTCATCTGTTACTTATCTCACAAATCTAATTAGATATTGGATGAAAAGTGAACAGAATCATATTAAATTAACAAATCAGAGCAAGTACTTGATCTCTGAGTGGCATTACTTATAAAGACTTAGCAACTGTAACAGTTAAATTGATTTTAAGAGTTGATT